TATATATATATATATATAAATTTCACCGTCAGCATTTACACCGATAAAATTAAGATAAGTTGTAGGGTAATACTGGTGCCTGAGCTGTGACAGGTTTGATGAGACAAAACACCCATGAAAGGATCATTTTAATGATGAAGAGATTTATCTTACTTTTGACTATTGGAACCCATTCAAGATTTACTCTCCTGGGGTCGCGATCTCAGGTTAATAGACACAGGGTTGGGAATACATGTTTCGTAGTCTTCCAGTTTGGGATGAAACACTGGTAGATCCGAATCATCCTGTCGTTCAATCTTAGGACCTCGGACAGTTTTCTGGTCCCCAGACTATAATTTTTTAGGCCAGTAGAAGAATCCTCTACCCAAAGTGACCGCCCCTTGATGCAATATGTCGAGATATTTTATTTTTTGAACACAGCATGAAGATTTAATGTAACTGTGATACTACCGGACCCCCGATTCCTTCATTTTTACAACCCACCACATATTCATCCAATCCATTCGATAAGTACTCTTCTTCAAGACAGTTGTTCACTGGTAAATACTGCTGGTGCAAGACTGCTCACGGTGACAATAAAAATGACTTGAAGGCCACTTTGTAGTTCGATAATATTCGCATGTACCGCCAGTTACATCTTCCTTATACAAGAAAGCTTTCCCGCTCAAGTGTCTGCGCTCGTTGGACACCAGCAGATCCTTCGGAATTGAGGAGGTCTACAGTCGCACAACCGCTTCCGCCATATGGGAACGGCAAAGGCGGCAGATGCAGAAATCGAAATCCGATACCTTTCAACACAGGATTGTCATCGTAAACTAAATGACGCACGATCGTAGGCATCCTCATGATGAACATATATGTTAAAATGTCAGAGATCAATAACTTGTGTTAAAAGGCCCGGTCATGAAATCGAGTAAACAACCTGAAAGGGCATATCAGAAGTAGTTTACATCAATGAAGGGGTTCATGGGGATGAGTAGCTTCACATCTTCAATAGTCAAGCACAGTAGAGAACAAAATACACGGATCGACACGCTGAAGCAAGAGGTGTGTTACCTGGCAATAGTTGTGGCCACAGAATGTGCGTAAAATACCCACCAGTGGGACGAAAAACGAACAACGGCGTTAACGGAGACACGGATTACATCAAAACAAAAAACGTCATTCAAGGTTGAATGCAGAATGGACAGAAAAGGTGAGAATCGACGAAGTTATCACAGCCAAACGCAGAATCACGTCTACATGGGTTCGAATCCATGAATCACATTGCATCAAAATGAAAGCGTTGTGCTTCTTTCTGCTTCTCTTTATGGTCCTCGCGTACTTCCAAACATTGAAGGACACTGATGATGATGACCAACACCACACAGACACACACCAGAGTAATCGCAATGTACAGAACTTTCATATTGTACAGCGGTTGTAGAAAAAGCTTGGCTGTCCACCTGCGAAAAAAACGGCAGAGTATTGCTTCGAGAAATTGATCGCATACACGAAGGAACAAGGTGGATCTGAGGGAGTTCTTTCAAATATGAATCAAGCTGACTTCATTGAAAACTTCAAACAACTAGCTGCCTTATCACTCCCAATCATCAAGGAAAATAAATTACATAACAATTCAGGTGAATGAATGAAGATTTGATACCTCCTTCAATATAAGGGTTTCGTTTGTGTCGTCTTGGGACCACATTGATCTTTCAGGGGGGGGAATGGCTAAACCTTCAATATAAGGGTTTCGTTTGTGTCGTCTTGGGACCACATTGATCTTTCAGGGGGGGGAGGGAATGGCTAAACCACTTTGCAGTAGTTTGCCAATAACCATGCGTTAGAAAGCACAAGTAGCGGATTTTTACAATGCTTGGTTCGTTTATATACAAGACTCACCTATCCGGATCCGAATGAGGGTAAGGGTTAACGAATACTTCTGAGTTCGGTATCAGTCCAAATATGGAGAAAGTTCGTAACAACTGAAACGAGGGAAATGGGGGGTGTAAGCTGAATGAAACTGTGTTTACGAAAGGACAATGACTAAAAACGAGACTCCGATCAGCGCCAACGTCTGTACGAAAACTAGTTCAAAATAACACCATTATACATGAAGAATAACGACCAGTAGAAAGCTGTACCCAGATTTATGTTATCATTCTAACACACTTACCGATGCTCGCATGAGTGGTCGTGAAGTTTGATAGCAAAATCACTGCCTTAAATGAGAGGGCCACCAGGATACGGAATAACGTCTCTCACAACCGAAAATCAAAACAAAACAAAGGCTGTATTGAGGTTGGGGATTCTGATGTCGTAATCGTCCGATAACTTCATCATCGTCAGGATGACATCATTGTTCAGCACCGATGCTTCACTGTCGTACAACCATGATTTACTTGAAAGCCTTATTGTAAAGAACAGAATAAAGATGGACGGGGAAGCGACTTAGTGTTAGCTTACTACAATAATTCCTAGGTGCCTACACCTTCAGACATTTACTCAGGCAATCTGGATGGAAACTGACGACAAGAACGCCAGTGACGTCGGTTGGAAACCACATGTAGTAGTGTCTCCAACCAGGCGCAGTAAGGATCACCCGGTCCCCATCCTAGAAGGCGAGTAGCACCGCAAGCGCCCAAGCGTTTCGTAATCTCCTTCATACCCCACTGCTAAGTCAAGGGTTGACACGTGCATAAATGTACTTAATGCCCTATGGGGAAAAGAAGACCGAAAGAATGGATAAATATACTGTCTCTTCCCCAAAATGGAGTCCTTACCCAGAAAAAAAAGCTAACATGCGCCGCTACACAAGCGCAAGTGCTATGGGTCATTAACAGCATCAGTGTGTTACAACGTCCTAGATATTCCTAACTTCCTCAAATACTGGAAACTCTTAGAAACGAGGAAAAAGCTGTATTGCACTTCTTGACCCACTACTTCAATCGGCCAAATATGAAAAAAAAGGTCTCCGAAATGCCTACGGATTGCTTAGATTACCTTGTTCAAGTGGCCTCCAAGACAAACACTGCAATGATCAACCTGGAGTGACCCATTACCATAAACAAGCTGAGGAGTTGAGAATTGAAAGTAAATGAAAATGGATACCGCTGATTTGATGTAAGAAATGAAAAAGGACTCACTGCTGAATCCGGAGGGATAGCAACTGTCAAACGTTCAACATAACTGGCAAACGGACCCAAACCAAATCGCATCGATGGGAGCTGGAGTGCAGTGCAGCAGCTCTGTACACCCATTAGGCCGGCAAATCCAAGCCGGCCGCCAGAAGCACTTTCAGTAGAGTAAGAAGAACTTTGTCCAGGTACTGGCAATCCATAGGGTAGCCTTTTGTCCGTACAATTCTCTGCTGAAGAACAAAGGCCGTTGAGGACAGTTACCTGATAACAAGAAATCAAGGCACAAAGATGAGAGAAGTGAGCAGTCAGATTTCGCAACAGATACCTCAGATCTTCGTTGATCTTCGTGTATGTCCCGCGAGTGACAAACAGCCTGTAAGCAAGGTAGGCCGATCATTTGCGGAACCTAGAAAGTGAAGTCCAAGTGGGTCTTAGGGAGTAACATCGCGACACGCAGCGAAATGAACGTACCACAACAACTGATGTAGGCGGCGCTTGCGTAGCAAATACAAGAGGAGAGTGGAATTTTGACGGTGAATTAGGGCGTGAGTTAATGAAATATTTGATACTTCCATAAAAAGTGCTCGAATCTAGAAACCAGATCAACTGTGTTAACCACCAAAATTGTCATCATCTCCACTAACGACACAAGGTCTTTCAAAAGATATTTTATTCTAAAAGAGCATCTTTGAGCGTCCGTTTGAACCAAGAGGATATGTCTATCAGTCGCCAAAGCTAAAGTATCATTCGTTAGGTTGGCTTGAAAAAAACATTGTAGGAAAATCTACACACGCACACAGGCATATGCACATGGATTGATACAACACTATGATACACGTCATTCATATGCTACACGCAATCTTACAGCCCAAAAAGTGTAAATACGGTATGGTTTATGAAAAGAAGCATGTAGAGCTCATTGATATACAATTTCATCCCTGCAAATATAGATAAATTTCTTAGCTCTTACTGCAGTTGTGTAGTTAACGTTGGCCATACAAACAGATGAACTTCTTGATCAAGCCACTTCTCTATGCTTATCTCTCAATTCCCTGTTCTGCACTCACATCTGTCTCATTTCTGTCAAGCCGTACAACAACAAATAGAGTACCCAAAGAATTGAGAAGGAAAAGAATCTTATTGACGCGAATGTCGAACCAAGAACCCGGTTACCTGTTACCTGCTTGTGTTGTCGGATATGCTTACATTTTAAAACCCAAACAATGAACCTTCGCTACTGGTGAAAACTGTCAGAGCTCATGCACACTATGGCCAACCACCAAAAATCTACAAAACAACACTGACCAACTCATTCTTCCATAAAGCACAGCGGTCTCAACTTGATGAGTAATCTCATCAAATGAGATCATGGTGCGAAAACTGTGGATGATAATAATACTGGCATACTAACATAGGTCCTGACCAGTAAAAAAAACGTTTTAAATGTTTAGGTGTTTTCAGCAACCTTATGAGTAGTGTATTACGTTTTCTTTGCTCCAAGAAAATTTAGGTGTTTTCAGCAACCTTATGAGTAGTGTATTATGTTTTCTTTGCTTCCAAGAAAATCCCCCATTGATGTAACAGGAAGTGTAACAATGGCAACAGTGAAGCGAATGCAGGCGTAAAGTTATTCATGCATTCATTCATTTAATTTTTTTTATTTATAAAGTTATCAATCACATTGCAGTGAACCAATCAAATATGAGAAATTTGGGAAACCTCTTGGAAACGCTACACCATTGAGTGTATTTCCTTCAAACTTGATAACACTTCAGATGTTCGGATAAGCCCACATCAAGAGGACCCAAGTATAAACATTCATTCAGAAAAAACTGACTATACCACAAGAACGAAAGTCAAACACTTATCTAACCGCCGAGAGAATATTCGGCCCGCGTCTCCTGAAAGCAAAGATTCGTTGAAAGCGAAACTGATTGCCTTCGATAACGGTTTTGGATTCATTCCGATGCATCGGAAATGTGTAAGAATGCACAAAAGAGTCATATCAGCTAAAGCACTAGGATACCATCATACTGGAGGTAAACAAAGAATCCGGTGCCGCTATTCTAAATAAAGCCAATTAGGTATCCAAGGTTCGCACAAGTTATTACGAAAAGTACATTTTCTACTCAGTAAAGAAGCGACCAAAACGAAACCGGTGGAGAAGCAAAACAATCGCTACAGGTTCTAATATCACATGATTTTATCTATTGCACTGAAGTCAATATATGCCTAGGCCAGTCAATTCCCATAAAGCTCAACTTTATGATATCTCAAAGACTCGAATGTGGGCAGCTGACCTACTTATCCCTGCGCGTTCATGTCCCGTTTGCTGAGCCTGCCTTGACTTGTTTCTCATGAGTCCCGTGTGATCGCACGTCCGATGAGAATCACGAGAATGTCTTCGGAAGGGACGACCGCAACCCACGCTACTGAGCCATCATTCCGCTCGCCGTTGTTTGGTGTGCGGACGTTGACACTGCACTGTGCCAGTCAGTGAAAAACCTGTGAACTTGTTGACGCTACGAACGTGAATAATTTAGCTTCGTTGTACATTTTTTTACCCGTGTGTGAAAAGCACCGTAGAAATGCGAACCCAATTCTTCCTTTTGATATTCGGGATTGTCGAATATACGCGTCACTCAAAGCACCGCATCGGAAACCTCAACATCCGGTAAGTTCGCGCCTTAACTCTTAAGCTATATCCAGCTCACCGGAGCGGCAAAATCATTAAAGCTGTCAAGAGGCTGTTTGAAAATCAGTTGTGAATGTGAAGGTTTGCCTTACCTAAAACAGATTTTATCCATACCCAAGATCCTGTAATTTAACGTATTTTGGACGACCTGATCTTGCTATTGTCAAACACTTAATTGCATTTTCGAAGACTCACCGGACTGTAAAGTAAGAATATCCGTAATTTCTCCAGGACAAGTGAATCGACGGTACCATTATGGGAAGCACTTTGGGACCTTAAGAGACCCCGACCAGAACAACATAATCGTGCTTTGGTCCCCATATTGCTCCATAAATACAGACAAAATGCTACATCAGATACACCCATGGGGGAAACTGGCTTCCTCAAATGTGTGCCGCGATCAGACAAATACCACGACCGTTTCGTCGAAAAAACTTCATCTTGAACAGCAGACCGAATGTACAAACCGCAGTACGATTGGCGTTCCTTACAGTGAAGACCATTCTTTCAATTTAACCAAAGAATCGCTGAAAGTATTCCTACGCCGCACCTAGGATGTAGCAGAGCTGTTAGCAAAGGCTGTCAATGCAGCCGACCAAAGTACCAACATCTGCCATTTGCAACAACCAATTCACTATCATTTGCGTATGCCGATAGCAATTACAGGACAGTTGAAACGAGAGCAGATTGGCATGTGCCGAAAAAACTCCATAAGCTGTCAGCTGGTCCTCCCTCCACTATGACCAAATGCAAAGTCGAATCACCGATCTTCAATGATCTAACTGATAGAAGACGCAGCAGTGAAATCCACTGATCGTTACGGATTTTACTGCGAAACAAACGGTCACACCAGCATCATCGACAACACATCATTGTTCAAGGCTTCGCTGCCGTACGACCATAATTTACTTGAGAGCCCTATTCTGAAGAAAAGCGGATAACAAAGAGACTCAGTGCTTACTTAACACGATCATTCCGAATTGTGTACACCTCCAGACACTCGTTCAGATACTCTGGATCCAGACGGACAACCACTTCGACTTCCCGCCATATATTGCAGCGCCTCCAACCATGTATAGTGGACCATATCCCTCAAAGCTAGTCGTATCGACAGTAGCCAAAATTTTCGTAACCTCTTTCATACCCCTCTGCCAGGTCAAAGGCTGATCACAACTCTGCTTGCAGCCCACTCACTTATATAGAGAGAATGGCACTCCTTATGGCAAACGATATTTCGGCATTCGCAATGCGTGACAAAGCCACCACAGCACGTAATACTGAACACATTCTATAGAGGAAAATGTTGGTAGCTCAGATAGCGTAGATGGTGGTCGTTGGCTTGTTCGCTGAGCTGGGCAATTTGATTGCAAGCGCTTCATCACTAATCGAGGTGACATCATCAGTGCGTTATTGTGGAGCGTAGTAGTGCATAGCGGTGGTTTGGTGGTTGTGCACAACCACACACACAGACTGATGCCCGAGGCGGTGGAAATCGCCAAGCATCCCAGTGTTAAGAGAATAGAAGGCTTTCTATGGAGGAAAATGTTGGCAGCTCAGGTAGCGTGGTTTTGCACCACCACCAACCCACCGCTACGCACTACTACGCTCCACAATAACGCACTGATGATGTCACCTCGATTGGTGATGAAGCGCTTGCAATCAAATTGCCCAGCTCAGTGAACAAGCCAACGACCACTGAACACATTCTTCGAGTGAAGTTTCCGATGCACAACCGGATACCTGTTCTCCAATTGTCGGGTTGATGATTCACCGGTACCATCCTACACAAGCTATCGTTCTGAGACAAAGGTTGCTGGGGTCCTGAAGATTTCTCACTTATACCGCTTGCAGCAGCCACGTCTCAGCAATACAACAAAACAACCCGAACTGTAGCCTGATACACTCCAATTGAGATTCGGATACACGCTGCTTTACCTCCATAGGTGTCACAAATGCAACCCGAGTCTTGCAGATTCTAACATTGACCTCATCTGCCATACCACAATCAGAATTAGTACAGGACGCGTAAAACAACCCACAGGTTCGACTGCCTCCTTCTTGGCGGCTAGTTGAACACCATTTTCGAAAACCTAGTGCTTATCCCATTATCGCATCAATAACAAAATTAAATAGGAATGGAGAGAATGGTCATCCTCATCGAACAAGAACTTTTTGGAGAGGTCTTCGTGTACTCTCACGCCTGGATGTCTGAGAATACAAAAAGCACCATCATCAACATATATTCACAAATTTTCAAGGCGTTGCTTGCTGGGAAAGCGTGTTAAGTAGAATAAACCGGTGAAGTGAGTCAAATGCTTTTTACCACAGAGGACGGCGAATTTATCCAGCAATATCGCTGTCCTAACCACCTAATTCAGATTGATCAAGGGATCACAAGTGTCAAAATACAGAAAACGAAGTTTTCCTCCTGACGACTGGCAGTCCACCAGTAAGGACTGTCTTCTTGAATTCCGAGAGATGAATCGTTTCGCAGCAACGCCAAGTGAGGTGATGATGAGAAATCTATGTTACATCCATTGAATATGAGTCCGTAAAATTGGAACCAAGATGCAAACGTGAAAAAGGTTTACTCACCTTCACAAAGTAGTGATCGTTGACCATTTGTTGGAGGAAAAGCTGAACCGACGAACGGTCGGCGTCATCCACAGATGCGACAAACACATCAAAAACGCCCTAGGTGGGAAACAAAAACATGTGGGAAAATACAGGTGGTCTGATCGGCATTGAAATGAGCAAAGACGGCATGTGTGGATATGGGAATGAAAACCCCCTCAAAAGTAAGTTAGCCCTTATTAGGGTGTTTGAACGCATACAGATATCTTCCACAAGACATGCTGACCGACACTCTTGGAGGCGTGCTCGCATGATCGCGCCGTCTTGAGTTTGTGCCCAACTGTCTGTACCCAACTGTCCGAAAAATATGATGAAAGCACTACCAATCATATGCATCATTGAATGAATAAAAGTCTATCGTTCCTCGACCATGTAATCTACTGCTGCCGCTGAATAATGACAGAAAACGCTGCTGGACGATCCAGGAGACAGAGAAGACTTTGGCAACAGACAACAAACGCATCCCATTGCAACTGATCAATCAATCCATCCAGAGAATGCGACTGTCAGCGAAACAAGTTGTGAAGAAGATGGGACGGTAATTCATTCGTAAAATCGTCGCTTTGAGTGAACAATCTCAAGAGCAGCTTAGCTGGCCTTCTTCAATACAGCTTCTGGGAGAGCATCCCGAGGGCTTGCTTTATGAGGTATCTGGAGTGCCAGTTTCTCTGAAAAGTTTTGCACAAGCATTGCACTTCCCTGATTTTGACGCCGTGGTGTTGCAATGCATCTCAATACGCTTGAAGAAGATAGGGATGCAGCTGTTATGTGATAGTTCAGATAATTGTTGGGTTGTATTTCGGCAGACTGCTGTCTGCAGTTATCCCTTTGGCAATTTCATGATAAGAGCCTCTGAGAATACCAACTTTCATCAGTTCCCTCTCCCACTGTAAATTGCATAACATCAAAAACGTTGTTTATTAGTTAACTCGCCGATTGTAGTCCACTAATTTTGATGATGATAAAAAGGTCACCGACGTAGCGGATTCATATTGTAGGATTTGCGTCTGTAACTGTGATCCGTTCGTTTTTGCATTACAGTTTCTCCAAGGAATCTAGAAATCCGGGACCTACCGGTGCTCCTCGTAGCTGTCCATTGCTTCCCGTTGAATTCAAAGTATGTGATCAGGCATAAGCCAAGCAATTCGCAGAGACCCCCATCTTCTAGCGATCCACTTGGGGCGGGATGGCTCAGTGGTTAGAGCGCCAATTTACTGGTCGGAAGGTTCGCGGTTCGAATCCGACCTCTGCCCCTGGACTTTCTCTGTCTAGACTTGGGCAACCTGGCGGTATCCAAGCCTTCGTGCTTTCTTCTGGTTGCATGGTAGCTAGGCACCGAAAAGATGCTACAGCTGGACGATTTTTTTGGTACATCATGGCTGCCAAGCAGTGCGGTGACAATCGACTTGCCGGAGTCCAAATCCACTGATGTGAAAAGCACACTCAAATCAGACGAGAACGTAATTTGCATTGTTGATGTTCCTCAGTTTTTTTAAAGAAGTGTCTTGCATTGCTGACTAAGTATTGCCACCCGCTGATGAGATATTTCACTTCTTCAACAGTTCTTTTGACAGGTTGTAAGCTGGATCCTTCAGGAGTGATGCAACTGGTCGTAGCGGTATTGCCGCTTTGTGTATTTTCGGTAGTCCATGGAAGCAGACGATTGCAGCTTCCTGAGCTCACATTTTCCAGTACTACTCTCCGGTGGTCTTTTGAATATCATTGATTTTCTTCAGATTCGCATTGAGTTTGTTCGCAAGTTTCCGGCTCCGGTCATTCTTGATACGGCGACATATAGTTGTGTGGTTCATTAGAGCCTTCAATTTATCAAAGTGGTCTGGCCTGTTCATGAGGACTATTAATAGTCCCTTATCAACTGGTGGAATGACGATTCGTGAACTTGCTTGATTGCTTGGCTTTATTGCTTCTTTTCCTTTGTCGAAAAAGGCGCCGAGTGTTTTGCGGTGTGATGGCTGGGACTGTGGTTTGGCGCAGATGTTGATGAGCGTTTTTGCCACGTTCAGTGTACCTGTGTGTTGCTTCTGGACTATCTGGGTAGTCCAGGGTCATGGCGTTATTAGAACTGTGATTGAGTCATTTGAACAGAAGATTCTGTTCGGCCTCTGTGAGCTATCTGCTAGAGAGGTTCTTTATCCAAGTATAGTCGTCATCTTCCTTTTCCCGGTTACCTCCTCCTCCAACGTGATAAAGCGCCTGCATCCCACATTTTTTAAAGAACGTGGTGAATTCTTGGTGAGGACCCTATTGCGGAAGATTTGGAACGTGGGAGTGTACCACAGCGACCATGATGCCAACCTTTGAGAATGATCACGAACATCATTCAAAAGCCATCGTGGAATCAGCTTGGTAGCCATCGCATCCAAGGTTCTGTATGACAGTATTTTGTACGGGTCGACCGTGGGAACCAAGCTGAGTTTCTCTCCGCTTGGGGATCCACCGACCATATCCCTACCTTGAGGCAGGTTACCCGACAGCGCCATTGTTCCAAACATTGGTCACACTTTCTTGATTTGAATGCTGTTTTGTCTCTGTAGATGGTCAGAAACTATGGTGGTGTTTAGAAATCAAAGATATCCCTTCTAAATGCTCATCCATTATGAGGCTGCTACATATAAACTCCAGTGAGCAACTACAGATATGCAACACACTGTTACCTAAGTTTACCACGCTCACTCTTAACCACCCTCTTTGAACGTTTCCCTTCAACTTTGCCGCCGATGTGCTTACTTGAAACGTTTCTGTCTGCATCCGAAAACTCGGGGGATCGAAATGCTCCCGAGTTTAACATACAGACACTGAGTATGCGAATGATAACGCTCTCCTTGGTTCAGCCCCTAAATAAGTCTACCTCAGGATTTGATATGCAGTTCGCAACTAAAAGTTGTTAAGTGCTACTACAACATTGGGTGGCATCGAACCCAAATGTCATGCTTGCAGACTGGCCAATCGACGTAGTAGATAAATAAGTTTGCCTGAGCAGTGGTACAAGTTTCATTGAACTGGATGGAGACAGTACCGTTTATCGAATCAAGAGGGCTAGGGCAGCTTCACTAGACTCAGACACTTATGGCACCGCAGTGATGCCAGTTTGCCTGTGACTGGCAGAGTATATATTGTGAGTTCCACAGTGCTCTATGGTTGAGAAACGTCGCATTTATACGCAGATGATGCTCAGAAGATACCGGGGTCCAGACAGGAATGGTCGGGTCTGGCGGAAACGTCAGATTAGTAATGCTGAGGCGTACCAGATGGTGTTAGAAGAAAGGAACTTTCCTGCACTGGTTAGGACAGTTACATTGCACATCAGTGGACCATCAGGGGTCTTTCCGACCAGCCCTGTGCTGAATGGAAGTGACCGAGAGATTACCAGTCTGTGACCTGACTACGAGCCACGAAAACCAGTAAACGCCTCGCTGGATGTGGACTCCACGACTCAACTCATGAATAGTCAACGATAACACCAGACATGACTCATTCACTCAAGCATTCGCCGCGACTTCTGCTGTTGCCTTCAATCCCATTTGCCGTACAGTAACCCGTTCCTAAAAGTAATTAGACTAATCAAATGAGAACTAACTGATTACGCCATCGTCCACAATGTTTGTTGTATGTCCTCCGTTCTCCTATTTTCCGGAGACCGCAACAGTAGCATATGGACACAACAAATCCATGGTGCATGGTTTGTGGTCGATAAAAAGAAACGAAGTGAACTGTTACTACCGGCGTCACCCTGCTCGAAAAACGACTCCAGTTCTAAAGAACTGAAGTGACAGTCCAACACCGTCATGCGAAAGGGGTCCATATGTTATAATTGCGCGCGCACAAACGTTCGGTTTAATGGGGTAGAGTTTTATGTGGTGTGAAATTGTGGTAAAAATACGGAAACTATGGAGGAAAATGTTGGTAGCTTAGGTAGCGTAGATGGTCGTTGGCTTGTTCGCCGAGTTGGGCTATTGATTGAAAAACGTTTCATCACCAATCCAGGTGACATCATCAGTGTACTATTGGGGAGCGTAGTGGTGCGTAGCGGTGGGTTGGTGATTGTGCTTGGAAGTAGAAAAAGTTTCACAATGTACGACTCAATGTTGTTCACTTACAGAGATGAGGGAAAAGGAATTTTGGAAACGTAAATCCAACACTCTCTCTGGAAAACAGGACTCTAAAGAGGCCAAGTCCCTGGGGTCCACATGAACGATCCCCACACGCCGTAACCTATAGTGAAAGCGTCCCGAAGAAGTCTATCTTGGGTAACTGAGGGGTGTACATTCGCAATAGTGTCAGAATATGAATTATCCGAGAAATAACGAAGCATTCTGAATTTTTTTTATTTTGTTTCAGTTACCTTTTCTCCGTTGTCAAAGAACGTAATTTGCTTCAGTTTGGTATTGGTTTTCGGTAACTTGGCACCTGGGAGTAGATACGCCTGGAATGTCAAATGACCCGTCTTAGAATTCACACCCTGATTGAGCAAGACTGCCGGAAGTGTTCCAATGTTAGTTCCAGCTGAGTAGGCCAATCCCATACCGATATCCGGTCTTCCATCCAGATCGAAGTCACCCAATGTGGGTCCAACAAGGGCGCTAAGCAGAAGGTCGTCTGCAGGGGTTCGTGCCAATGACCATGTGTAACCAGGTTGCACATTTTTCGGTTCCCATTCGACATCAACGGATCGCCACTTGGAAAAGAGTATGAAGGAAATGAAAGAGTCATTTTACATTCAAAGCCTTCCTGTTTTACAGGTAAAACATGAACCCAGTTAAAAACAACCGCGTATCAAAATGTTAATATGGGAACCAGTAAATAGAGAATGGGGATGGATTTGCCAAAATCAAAGAAAATTTCAACAAGTTATGGTATGTGCACCCTCACTCCCAAAAAAGTTATTTCTTGGGTACGAAAGATAATCGCCCTAAAGGGAGCCATCTAGCAAAATGCTTTCTTGGGAGGTCTAGTGTAGAAGAGGACTCCGTCAATAAACGAGACAGGATGCGAAGGACGGGTGAACTTGAAGGCAAGAACACATGCTTACGAAATGAGACAAGTGAGACAGGCCAAGTGGAATAAGAGACTCTAATTAACCCATTGAATATCAGGCAACATTACAAGCCACAAGCGAATCACACCATTCTAAAGCTATTCGCTCAAGGCCAACCGATCAACAACGAGTGCTTTCGAAGGATTTAGAGTGGACATTAAATGCGTTAGACTGCTTAAGGATGTATGTTCCAAGCACAAACATAGTTCAATCAATTAAAAGGCATGGATCACAAGGATTACCAACACATAATCGGGAAGATAACCGTGTGGTCGGCTTTCAGGAAGCCAGTCTCACAAGGCTTCCTACCTTCTCATTAGGTGAACGTCGAGAAACCGGGCATTGAGCCTTTGATGATAAGTGATAAGTTGACCAGGGGAGCATCCCAACAAGCCAGTTGTTTGCAACCGAGGTGAAAAACTATCAAGACCAAATTAAAGCAATTATNACATAATCGGGAAGATAACCGTGTGGTCGGCTTTCAGGAAGCCAGTCTCACAAGGCTTCCTACCTTCTCATTAGGTGAACGTCGAGAAACCGGGCATTGAGCCTTTGATGATAAGTGATAAGTTGACCAGGGGAGCATCCCAACAAGCCAGTTGTTTGCAACCGAGGTGAAAAACTATCAAGACCAAATTACAAGCAATTATCCACCGATCGGAAGACACTAGTAATGAATACGTAGGACAGATAACGAACCTGGAAAGTTTCAAAATTGAAGAGGAAGATAGAACTCCCACCAACGCAGTTGATCGTCGTGCAAGCCGGGAGAAGTAGGTCTATTGTTCCGTCACTATCTGAAGGGAGTGAATAAGTGATTTTGCCGTGAAGGCAGAGACATAAGAAATTGGAAACAGTGATAGGGATGACTAAGTTGTTGGTGGAAAATACACAACCTAAGAGTAACAGCAAATTTTAGATAACAGTTCACTCTAAATAAGTCAAGAATTACATGCAACTCATTCGAAAATAATTTGCGAAATCGGGTTGAAGCCCAAAAACGTATAAAGTTGCCAAGCGGTCTCATATACAGCGCGCTGATAGAGAACTGGGTTGGAAAAAGGCGGCGCAAAGCAAATCCATTCTACATCATGTGGGTTGGCGAATAAGCTGGCACACCAACCGAAATCCTATCAACAAACTTCGGTGGGTGTGAGGTTGTGCAAGAATCACCATTTTGAAGAGAACCAATTGTTAGCAACAGTTCATTATCTAACATCGAAGGGAAAATGTTTGACAGCTTGCATATTTCTGGTGGGATACAGCTAACAATGACTGAGACAAACCATATGAAATCAGCACTTAATCACATAATCACCTACCAAAATCGCCGAGCACGAAAAGACCAAGGGTTAGCTGCTGGGCTACACGGAGTGAAAGAGGTAAGTCAAACAGCATCACGTCCGCACCCAGCTCTGGAGTCGGATCACGTTTATATACTTGAAACTTCATATCTCCGGATTCACCGACGAGTACGACAATGTCTGAAATTAGGATTCGGAGAAAAAACATCTCAAGAACAAATCCACGTGGCATCAACGGAGCACAAACATAACACTCGTTCGTCGTGAATATCATCCACACCACACACACATCTTCACAAAACACTCGTTACGTACATCCTGGGAACTCTAATAATCAATCCGAATGAGTCTGACCGAGAAGTTGAGCCATTTCACAGAATGGTAAACTGGGAGAACGAAACCATAAAAACGGTGAGGCACACTATATGTGTGCATTATATGATAGTGAAATCAGCTACTATCTTCAGCATATAGCTATCCACTGGGGGTTATCAGATCATCGGCAACTGTAACCACTGTACAAAATGTACAGTGATAATAAGTACGCTTCTTGGAGGAGACCAGAGGGTACGGGTGAATCCGGTGCATATTTAACCGTCACGAAGAGACTGGACCTTACCGTGGTGTGATGGTTCGCGCACCTCAGCGATCCATTGAGCTATACTGGAGAGTGCCCCGCGACACTCACAGAGTCTCTCATACCAGGTTGGTCAATGGTCAAAGGTCTGACGAACACAGTCTCCTGGCTCTCCAGGTTGGGGGTTGGAACATGTGGCGACTTGTCCCCTAGAAATGGCAATGCATTTGCATTTCCCGCCAAACACCGCTGCCTTGAAGTTAGGCATTTGAGCCAAAGGCTTTGGTTGAGGACCCTAATCGTCCTCCTGTCTAGGTGTGGGCGCCCTGGCATTATCCCAGCCCACGTACAACCATGAATCGTAGATACATCATCATCATCATCATCGACAGCATGACATCAGTGCTCACAACCAATGCTTCACTGCCGTACAGCCATGACTTATTTGAAAGCCTTATTGTAAAGAAAAGAATAAAGGTAGACGAAGAAGGGACTTAGTGCTAGCTTAACACAATCATTCCGAGGTGCCTACACCTCCAGACATTCACTCAGGCAATCTGGATAGAAACTGACAACAAGAACGCCACTGACATCGGTTGGCAGCCATATCTTGTAGTGTCTCCAACCAGGCACAGTGAGGATCACGCAGTCCCCATCCTGGAAGGTGAGTAGCACCGACAGCACCCAAACGTTTCGTGATCTCCTTCA